GTTGGAGGAAGTGTGCCATTGTGGAGGCAGGCTTTGAGGTTTCCTATGCTCAAGATACTGCCTAGTGTCTGAGACCACTTCCTGTTCCCTGCATGATATAGAACTCTCAGCTCTTTCTTCAGCACCATGTCTGCTTGCATGCCACCATGTCCCACCATGATGATAATGGACCGAACCTCAGAACTGTAAGCTAGACACCCCAATTAAATGTTTTTCTTTATAAAAGTTACCAAGGTCATGGTGTTTCCTCACAGCAATAAAAACCCTAACTGAGATACTTATCTTCCCAGTCATAATTTTACTTATTTATTAAAAAAATTGGGGGGGGGCTTTCTAGACTGGGTTTCTCTGTCTAACTGACCTGGCTGTCCTGGAACTCTCTTTTTAGACCAGGCAGTCCTTGACCTATCTAATATCCACCTGCCTCTGACTCCTGAGTGCTGGGATTAAAGGTGTGGGCCACCACCACCAGGCTTAATTATTTATGTTTTGAGGACTGATTTTGGATCGTGGCATTTTCTTCCACACCACTTGCTTGCGTCATGACTTCTTTGTGGAAGGCCTGGCTTCATGGGTTTGTGACACATGAAAACTAACAGGGCCTTGTATGCAGAAGGGCCTGGTACTTGGCTTAATGCTTTGTCCTTGCTATGCTCATACTCTCAGTAAGTTTTTTAAGAAATTACTTATTTATTATTATTATTATTGTGTGTGTGAATGCATGATGTACATGTGTGTGTTTTGGGGGTCTGTGAAGGTGTGTACAATGTACCTTTGTGGAGGTCAGAGGACAAGTTTGTGGAGTTGGTTCTCACGATTTACCTTTCCATGGGTTCTGGGGACTAAACTCATGTTGCCAGGCTAGGCCATCAAACACCTTTACCCAATGATCATCTGGTTTGCTCCTCAGTGAGTCTTGAACAAGGGCCTCACATTTTAATTTTGCTTTGGGTTTTACAAATCCTACAGCCAGTCCTGTTTGAAGAGTCTTTGAATTGCATTTTCAGAAGACAAGAAGGGATCCATTTTTTCCCACTCTCACCTCCCCTCTTTTCCCCAAATGCAAATCAACCTAACTTGTTTAAACAGAGATGGGGAAAGAGAGCAGTAAAAATAAATATTTGAGAATCGTTTGACATCTATTTTCCTGCAACCTGGACATGAGCAATCCACGGTTGCTGTTTCATGGTGGTATGAGCTTGCAAGGTACAAGCAAAACACTTCTGTGCCGTCTGCTTGAGACAGCTGTGTCTCTATCTGCCATTCTGTCTGCCACCTAGCAGCTGCTTATATGAAATCGGTTCTTCTTTTCCTCTATACACCCATTCAGGATGGGCTGAGTGAAGATGAGCATATCCATGCTTTCAGGCCATTCTCATTCCAGATCCTCTTCATTGATTAGCCTTTCAGGGTATTTGATATGGCCTGAAAGTGTTCTTGATGTGACTATTCAGGAAACTGGATATGGAATTAGTGCTGTATTAGTTTAGGCTATGGTTTCAACCAACAGAGTTTATCTAAGCTTTCCAGTGAAAAACCATCATAAGGAACACAAACAAACACCCAAGCATTGAGAACAAAATAATTTCCTGTTGTTCAGGGAACTAATGTTTGAGGGTAAAATTGGTTCCAATCAACTAACATATATTTAGGGCTCCATATGATGAACAACTGTGGTTGTATGAATGTAATTGGCCCCATAAACACATAGGGAATGGCAATATTAGGAGGTGCAGCTTTGTTGGAGTAGGTGTGGCCGTGTTGGAGGGAGTGTGTCACTGTGGAGGCAGGCTTTGAGGTCTCATATATGCTCAAGCCATACCCAGTATCTCAGTTCACTTCCTGTTGCCTTTGGATCAAGATATAGAATTCTCCACTCCTTCTCCAGCACTATGTCTGCCTGCACACTGCCATATCTCATCATGATGATAATTGACTAAACCTCTGAACTGTAAGCCACCCTATTAAATGTTTTCCTTTATAAGAGTTGCCATGGTCATGGTGTCTAATCACAGCAATAGAAACCCTAACTATGAGAGTAACGCATGAGATGCTTTCTACATGTTAATTTATTTTACTCTTGAAGCAATGTTACTCATGAGCTACTCCCTTTCCCATCACTGACAGAAGCAATTAAGCACAGAGAAAGTAACTTGCTTGAAGTCACATAGCCATTAGCTATTATAGCTAAGGTTTGAATCTGTGCATTTAACCTCTGCAGCTTCCTCTAGTCCACAAGGCACTAGAGCAGTGTGTTCTCACCCTTTCTCACCCTTCCGAACACTGCCAATCCTTTAATACAGTTCCTTATGTGGTGGTGACCCCCCCAACCATAAAATTATTTTCATTGTTGTTGGTGACCATGTCAGAGGAGCAGCAGATGGCACTGAAGTCTGAGGTGAATCCCTGATGGGTGAATGCCCCTAGACCACAGACAAGAGAATGTTTTTTTGCTTCTGCTCTGCCTTTCACATGTTTGGCCCTGTCGTCTTTCTCTGGTATCTGGCATGGTGTGACTGGGTGAGGGGAGATCCCCTCTGCCTGTAATGTGGTGTGTTTATCTCATGGAAACATCCTGTTCTACTGGGCACTTTTACCCATTGATTATTATGAAGATAATTTCTTCCTAAGCAGTACAGTCTAATTGATGATAATAATGTTAGTCTAAATTGAATTTCACAAAGCTATAACACATGAGTTTCTATTGAGGAGCTGTTTTGACTGTGGCTTAGGTTAATGATTAAGAAAAATAATTAATTGTGGGTCCTTGCATTTGCTTCCATCAGTTACTGGATGTAGGTTATATGATGACAGTATATTAGAGTAGTCAGTAATCTGATTAAAGGGGAAGGCCCATTCAGACACCCTCTCCATTACTGCTTGGAGTCTTAGCTGCGCTCATCCTTGTGAGAATTTCTCTAGCACCAGGTTTTTCCTCTAATGACTCCCTCTATCAAGATATCTCTTTCATTGCTCTTCCCCTGGCAGTGGCACCAGTACCTATCCCGGGGGCAGGAACTGACTTTTTGGAGCCCATTTCCTAGGGTGGGATTCCGTTGCTCAGTCTTGATACAGGGAGGAGGGTCTTGGTTCTGCCTCAACTTGGTATACCAGACTTTGTTGACTCCCCAAGAAGGCCTTACCCCCTCTGAGGAATGGATGGGGGGTGGGAACAGGGCATGTGGGGGATGGGTGGGAGAAGGGGAGGGAGGAGGAACTAGGGTTGGTATGTAAAAAGAAAAATAAATTTTTTAAATTAAAAAAATAACCGAGTCCCAGTAGCCCGGCTATTTTAAATTCTTTTGATCATAATGTTTCGAGATGTGTTTACAGTTTTCAGAGTGCTTCATAGCTGAAACAAAGCTTTGAAAATAACTTAAGGTTAGACTAGATGTTTTCGTCAAATAGCTTTGAGGTGAAAAAAAAAAAAAAAGAAACCCAAGAAGACAATCTAAAATTTTAGGAAGGCACATAGTTGAATGAGGAACTTGTTAAAGGTCAGGGAACAAGAGCAAAGCTACTGATATAGTGGTCTCTCCCCACACCCCTCCACATTGTTAGGAATTGTCATCTCCTTCCATTGGCTCTGAGCAATATACATGCAAAAGGACTGTGTTCTTTTAGATCCCTTCATTATCTTTGTGTCTTGTGTCTAACACAACGACAGGATCCTAAAATGGTTCGATATGCATATTTGCTAAGCTGAATACAGTTATTTTGTAAAACATAGCTATTAAGAAACAGAGCGGAGTTATGCCTCTGCAGGCATTGTTTGTATGGCTGTTCTGAATTACGTTTCTGTGTCAGGTGGGGTGAATTCTAGAGGCACAACTGTTGATGCAAATACAGAAGTAAGTCTTTTGAAGAGTTTATGTCTCAACTGAATAGGAAAAGCCTTTGTGTGGGCGGGGTGGGAATCTGAGGGGAGGAGATGCTTTAAAAGGTCAGGTCCCTTTGTTTCAAGGCCTAAGGGAGAGGATTAAGTGGGAAATGCATTATTTCTGTACAGAGTGGTCAGAATGGACAGCCTATATTTTAAGACAATCTAGTAGCTAGTTCTCAACCTGTGGGTTTTGACCACCAGAAAATACATATTTCTGACAGTCTTAGGAACTCCCCATCACAAATTTATTTTCATTGCTACTTCGTAACTGTAATCTTGCTACTGAGAGGTGTCTGAGTTACTAAGATCATTAAAAGAAGTATGTTTTCCTATGGTCGCCACACATAGGTTAAGAACCACTGATAGCTGTCTTTTTAAAAAAATATTATTTTAGGTTTCAGGAAAACTTCCATAGATCACGTAAATTTTGATTCTAGCTTTGGGGAGGGTCAGGTCAGTGTCCTTTATCGGCAGAGCAGAAGGAACAGTCTTCCCTAATGGATTTTCACACCTTACTTTTCCCCAAAGCTCCTTCCTCGAGGCTTTAATTCTCTCATCATAGACTGAAACTGACTTTTCTTCTGAGCAGGAAATACTTCTTTCATGTTCTCTTGAGGATGTAACACGGTAGTCATTTGCAGTATGTACTGTAGTATGTACTGAAGAGCTGTAAGATCTTAGTGGAGCCAGTTCAGGCAGAAAGTGTTTCTCTTAATAATCTTCTTTATTCCCCTCCAGTCCTAAGCCTTTAGAACAAGACATTAAAGCGATATTTACACATCACTGCTTACTATTATTTATCCTTTGATGTTTCCGAATGAGTAAAATTACATTCACTGTCAAGGTAGCATTTGAATTCACTTTCTACCAAGAGTTTTCGTCTTCACAGGCTACTGGCCCTTTAAAAAACAAAATTAGAGCCGGGCGAAAAGGCAGGGCCCTGGGTCCGTAAAGACCGCTTATCCAGCTTCTTCCGGGAAAGGCATCTAGAGGCCAGACCCCGAGCATCCTGGGACTTGCAGTTTATCTGCTGTCACCGTCGCTGGATCTCTCTCTGCTCTGGAGCGTGGGATGGACTACAGCTCCCAGAGGGCCAAGCGGCGGCAGCGCGTCCTGTGTTTTAGCCGCTCCTGGGCGGCTAGTTCAAGTTGCCATAGCTGCGAGTCCCGGGTGAGCAGAGTCTGTTGCGCCGCAGCGTTGGGTCAGTTGCACCTTCGGGGTCCCTGGTAGCCGCGGGAGTCGGATGGGGCCTCGGCGATGATCCGGCGTTAAGAACCTGGAGTCACCTTGGGTCTAAGGTACCTGCCCCATTTGCTTGCTTGTCCTTTTTCTTACTTCCCTCTGCAGAGAGATTTCTGTCCCACTTCCCCCTTATCTCTGGGTGGGGACATCAGAGCTGCCGGGGGATGTGGGATGGGGCCGGGTGTGTGGGTGCAGTGTTTGGTGAAGTGAGGGCGATGGCGTGTTTGCACCCCTCAGCAGGTTGTCCACAGTCAGGTCCTGGCAGTCTCACTCTGAATGCGCGTGGTCCTGGCTTTGAAGCAGCTTGCCATGGGCTAGCCGCCTAGACGCTTTTGCTATCTGACATTTAGTTGATTGCTCGGAGGGTGCTTCTCTGTTCTCTAGTCAGTCGATTTTTCCTTTGCTAAGTAAGGAGGTGCCGGCTTCCTAGTGGTTAGCAGCCCCCCTTTGGAATTGATTCTTAGAAACACTAAACTTTGAAACCCAGTATTGGTTTAATGGACCGGGTCTGTTAGGCAAGGTTCGGTAAAGCTCGATATTGCAGCGTCCTGTCAGGATTATGCAAAATATTTGGCGCAGTGCCTAGCACAAAGCCAGTTCTCAGCACTTCTTTTCTTCCTACAGCTGGTTGTGCTAACAGAAATAACATGTGAACTATACAGGTGGTTTTCAATTTTATGGTAAAAGGAAGCTTCTTTATTTGGCACAGTACATAAGATATATATTTGGCATGTAGTAAATATTAAATTTATACACACACACACACACACACACACACACACACACACATACACACACACACACACCCCACCCCACTTAGACAGGGTCCCACTGTGTGACCCTGGTTGGCCTGCAACATACTATGTAAATGGACCAGACAGGTCCCCAAGTCACTGAGATACAGCTACCTCAGCTTCCATAGAGCTTGAATCAAAGGTGTGTGGCACCACCTGAGCTATATTTTATGTGTTTTGAAAACGGTATTGGGTGTTGTGAATCTGGCATTTATTAATATCTTATATTTATAGTGTATCAATTTGAACTGGCCAGACTTCTAGTGTCATAGACGTATTCTGGACAGCACAGAGGGAAGATGAACTTTGACAGCTGTACATTGGCATGGAGAGTTTGTTCTCAACTTGTGGGTAACCACCCTGTAGGGTAGACTGTCCCTTTCACCGGGTTGCCTGAGACCATTAGAAAACACAGGTGTTACATTACGATTTGTAACAGTAGCAAAGTTACAGTTATGAAGTAGAAATGAAAATAATTTCATGGTTGGGGGGTCACCACCGCATGAGGAACTGTATTAAGGGGTGGCAGCATTAGGAAGGTTGAGAACCACTGGCATAGAGAATTTTCATTGTGCCTAGGACTCATGTGGTAAAGCTTGCTGCTTTGTTAGAGAGGTGTGTATTAAACCACTGCTTAACTGGCCACTC